GTTGGTTGATGATGCATGGAGGGGATTGTAATCATGGCAATGAAATGATATACGATAGGATGAATGTAAAACTAATGTTCTCCCATGTAAACTATGACATAATTTACAATAAAACATTAAAAAAACAAAAAAAAACAAAAAAGAGAATGGAATTTTTCCACTAACTTTTTGAAGCCCCCTTATATAATGTTAAAGAACAGAAGGTGTGTTCATCAGAGACAGATGCTTAAATGTGGGGACAGTTCTATTTGTGGTGGGATACCTCTATAACTCTAAGGGAGATCCCCTTGCATCTTGGTAAAAATTAGTTCTTTTCTATTTTTTTTTTTTTTAAGTTAAAGTTTAAAATGTCAATTACGGCATGTCTGGTGCACAGTTTGGAACTGCAACCAGACCTCAGATACAGTTAGAGGTCCTGGTTACATCAACATTTGAGTTCCCAAGGTAAGCTTGAAGACCTCCAGGATATTGGGAAGTGCCTAAGACGTGCTTTTCTCATGGAAGTGCTTTTCTACTTTGGATTCTACAGATACCTGTCCAGGATTGGCCTGAGCTGGGAATATTGGTAATGCAGAAACTAGTTCTAGGGATCTAGGAGCAGGCCTCTTCCTTCCATTTTTTCCTGGCTCCAGAATAGTGTTGCAAGGCTAGGGGTGAGAAGTAGGATACAGAAGTTTTGCATTCTGATTTAATGATGTTTTTGCTAATTTCTCATTATTTATTTAATGCCCACTCAATTTATTTATTAACTGAGGGTCAGCTGCATGTTGAGGGTCCAACAGTGAAAGATAGCCCAAATGCCCTCAACCCCTGTGTCTGAGCTCTTCCTTACCCATCCTCTCCACTATCCTCATAATTTGCAGAGAGGCAGAGCAGTGAAGAGTCCCATTTTACAAATCCCTAATGACTCCCAATTTCCAGTTGAGAAAACTGAGGGTCAAAGTAGAACCACTAGGTGCAATGACCCTCAGTCTGGGCCTGAGTTCTGGGGACCCAGAAACTATGCAGACTTGGGTAGTTGGTCCTGAAACATTCTCACTAGATTGATCTGTAGATGGCAGATTGATGAGCTCTTTAGCTTCCCTTTGTCTTTGTGCCTCTGCTTTTGTGGTTGCCCCTGCTGGGAAGGTCTTTCCTCCCTACCTGCCTGATCTTCTTCCATTCTTCAAAGAAGGCTTAAGGATCTCCTCATTCAGAAAGCTTCGGGGGGAGGGGTGGGGGTCCCTTCTCTTTCCTTCCTCCCTCTGTCAGTCCTTCTGCACCTCCAAATCTCTAACTCTGTTCATGCCCCTCAGAACCTCTCAACATACCCCTGCTACATGTGTTTCCATGCCATGGAGGCTGTAAGCTCTTGAGGACAGGCACTTAGCCAGATTCCCCACCAGGGTCTGACATGATGTCCTGTGCCCAAGATGAGTTTGGTTTGGGGACTTGAGAAAGATTTGATTGGTGAACATGTGCTCTCTTCTCTGTTTCTGCAGCAGAATTTGATGTGGGCACTGATGATTGCTATTCCCCTGGTCACTGTCCTATACATTCTAGTCAACATCAGTTACTTGCTAGTGTTGTCGCCCAATGAGATCCTCTTCTCTGATGCGACGGCTGTCAGCTGGGGGTAAGTAAATTACAAAGTGTGTCCCTTGGAAAAAGAGGTAGGCTGTGACTCTGAACCAGACATGGAATCTCCCTCATCCTTAGTATTGTTCAATTTCCTTGATCTAGTGCTCATGAGGAATCTGTACCTGGACCAAGAAGAAGTTGTTTGAACAGAATATGGGAACACTCAATGTTTTAAAATTATGAAAGGTGTGTGGCAAGGTTGTATTCTTTTACCATACTTATTTAACCTGTATGCTGAGCAAATAATCCAAGAAATTGGGTTATATGAAGAAAAAAGTGGCATCAGGATTGGAGGAAGACTCATTAACAATCTGTGATATGCAGATAATACAACCTTGTTTGCTGAAAGTGAAGACTTAAAACATTTACTGATGAAGATCAAAGAGCACAGCCTTCGGTATGGATTGCATCTCAATGTAAAGAAAACAAAAATCCTCACCACTGGACCAATAAACACCATTCTTATCAACGGAGAAAAGATTGAAGTTGTCTAGGACTTCATTCTTGGATCAACTATCAACACTGACAGAAGCAGCAGTCAAGAGATCAAATGATGTATTGCACTAGGCAAATCTGCTGCACAAGACCTTTTAAAATTGTTGAAGAGCAAAGATGTCAGCTTGAGGACTAAGGTGTGCTTGACCCAAGCCATGGTATTTTCAATAACCTCATATGTATGTGAAAGCTGGACAGTGAATAAAGAAGACCGTAGAAGAATTTATGCTTTTGAGTTATAGCGTTGGAGGAGAACATTGAAAGTGCCATGGGCTGCCAAAAGAACCAATAGATCCGTTTTGGAAGAAGTGCAGCCAGAGTGCTCCTTGGAGGCTAAGTTGGCCAAATTTCATCTCTCATACTTTGGACATATTGTCAGGAGGAACCAGTCACTGGAGAAGGATATCATGTTTGGTAAGGTGGAGGGTCAGAGAAAAAGAGGAAGACCCCTCCCAACGAGATGGATTGGCCAAGTACCAGCATTGATGGACTCAAGCGTGGCAACAGTAGTGAGGTTGGCCCAGGATTAGGCAGTGTTTCGTTCTGCTGTGCATAAGGTCACTATGGGTTGATGGCACCTAACAACAACAACCGCAACAAGGATCCAGACCACTTTTCACTTATCTTCTGTGGCCTCTGAGGACACGTTGCCAGAGCCCAGGATTCACCTTTGTAATCGTACATACTGTGTGCCAGCTTTGTGCTTGCCAATTTCTATGTTTCAATATTGAATTCTAGAGTCATTCTGGTTGGCCCTAGGCTGGGCCAACCTGTGGGGGAGGCTAATGTGTGGGTATGGTCTCTATCCTTATAGAACTCACAGGTAACCTAAGGAGAGAACCACGTAGATCATGCTACTACTAGGTTAAATTATGTGGTTTAGGCTTAAATGCCCTGGGGGTTCAGAGATGTGAAGGCTGAACCAGACAGACTGGACTTCTTAGAAGAAGTGGAACCATGTTTAAACAAATCAGTAGGAGTAGGATGACTAAGAGATGGTGGAGCATTCCTAGTCCCAAAGAAAAGCACAGAAGTGGAACTAGATGGGACATGAGTAGCTGATGAAGCCAGTGGCTTGTTTAGAACAAAAAGTATATTTGGGGATCAGGGAGAAGAGTTCAAAGACCACTCTGAAGGATGCTGGAAACCAAGCAGAGGAAATAAGCTAATGTGGAAGGAAATGGGAGCCAGAGTTGGATCTGAATTTGTAATTGGTCAGGGAACAAATGATAGCAACGGGATCAAAGAATCACCCTGCATGAGGTCAACCCTGAGCAGAGAGGTCTAGGAAGGGGAAAAGATTTGAAGGATGGAGGCCTGTGAAGGAGACCAAAACATAGAAGACAAGGATGGCATAAGGAGAAGGGATGATAGGGAGAGCATGAGAATACAGGGAGCTGATTATTCAATGATACCTGTGGTAGTCACATAGCAGAGGGTCTGACAGAGTCTAAGAAGGGGGAAGATGAAGAAAACAAGGCACCATCTGTTCTTGGTTTTAGGTACTCCTGGCATTGCCAGGGCAAGGGGTGGGGTGACAATTAGAGGTAGTGCTGGAACACAGAACACGAGAATCAGTCAAACACAGCCTAAATCAGAGATGATCAAGGAAGATCTTGGCCAAGTTCCACAGTCAAAAGCTATAGTAAAGAGCCAGGCTGGTCAACCAACAGAAGACCGGGTTATGCAGGGTATGAAGTTGTGCCCTTGAAAAATAATTCTTGATGAAAAAGTCTCTGGGTTGTGAGCAGTGAAGATGTCTGTACACTACCAGGTGTATTGTTGCATGGATGCTGAGCAGACATTTTAAGGGGATAGAGCTTCCGTATCATTGTATGCTTATCTAAAATTTACTTAGAATTAATAGCTTGCTCCATTTCTGAGTGTGACTTTGCAGCATTCCAGACTACTGTCAGAATTCTTCCCCTGAATCCCTGTGTTGTTCTAGGAACCAAGTTCTGGGAGCCTGGGCCTGGTTGGTGCCTGTGGCTGTTGTACTCTCGACATTCGGTTCTGCAAATGCAGCATTCTTCAGTGGAAGCCGTTTGTGCTATGTGGCTGGAAGAGAGGGCCACATGGTGAGAGATGGAGTCTGGAATGGAGCCAGGTGGTGGACTGGTGGGAGGGGTGCTGGAAGGATCAATAAGTCAACCTTTCTTTGGCCCACAGTTTAACATTTAGCTCAAAACAGAACTTCCCTATAAGCTGCATCCTTCTTTTCTTTTGGAGAATGGGACTGAAATATTCCATATATTGTATCTTCAAATTCCCAAAACTCTTGGGTTTTTGGGAGAGCACAGTACTGGGTCATACTCTGTGGAGGTTGGAGGTAAAGGTTGTAGTAGAGACATTTGTATTCACTTCCAGTAGAGCAACAGTGGGGAGGAGAGATGGGAGCAGTGCCAATGCCTACCCCCTGGGTTCCCTATCTAGGGGTCTTTCTGTGTCACTATGCTAGCTTTTGCTGCAATGATGTTGAATAATGGCCAACCCCAAATTCTCAGTGGCTTACATCAAACATGTAAGTTTTATCATGAGTCGAATAGATAAACTATGGCGCAACTACGGATTATGGGTTGTTTTCTCATTCCACACCATGAGTGTCTTCTGATTGCAGGACAAAGCAATAGAGACTACCTGGGCATTTTAGCCTATAGCAAGTGTCAGGAGTGCAAGTGACCAGAACCTCTTCTTAAGCCATTTCTGTGAACATTCTATTGGCCAGAGTAAGTGACATGGCCAGCGTCAGTGGATGGCAAGCTAGAGTCTTTGATGGAGTTGAGGAGGAGACTAAACATTTGCTGACCAATTACAGTGTGCCACAATCACTCAATACCCCATCCCCTGTGCCACCCATACCTGCCTTGTCCTCTTCTCCATTCTCCTCTTCCTTTTCCCTCCTTGCCCCTCTTCCTGTCTGGGGAGCGAAGAATAGAAAGTTGTAAGACCTGGCCAAACATTGCTACAGTTCTTCACATTTCAATCCCACACCTAAAGCTGTTTGGATGTTAGCTGGCTTGGAGGCCCAGACTTTTGAGAACCCCTCCCAATAGACATCTTGGAACTGGTCACCCCAGGTGAATCACAGGGACCTATATCTAGAAGTTGTGGTTGCTGATAACTATGAAGTTGGTATCCAAAAATGCACTAGGCAGGGGGAGAGGGTTGGAAGCTCCCTTGGGCAGATGCTCACTGCTCCTTTCCTTGGGGCCTGCCTCATTCTTGCTTCTCCCTCCTAGCCCCAACTTCTGTCTATGGTTCATGTGCATCACTTCACGCCAGCCCCAGCACTGATGTTCACTGCTGCAGTGGCTTTGATCCTGATCATCCCAGGAAACTTCAGCACCATTGTGAACTTCTTAAGGCAAGTGAGACTGTTCTTTTAGGCCAGGTGTCTGGAGCCTCTATTTGGACATATGCATGCACACTTCTGGAAGTCCTGGTTCATCACCCTCATACATGCACACCCATTTCAACATTCTTCCACCAGCCACGCTTCTAAAAGTAAATGTGCCTCCCTCCTTTATTACTGTTTCCCAAAGTTCAGTGAGACACATGCTTCAGAAGGACACTAAGAGCAGACAAATTAAAGGCTTATGCTGTCTGTGTCCCTTATTTTTGGGAGCGGGGACAAGAGGTTGTTGTCTTTTCAATTGTTCCTTTATTCTGTCTCCAAGATAATGTTAAGGAATATTCAAAGATTACCCACACCACTGTTGCCCTTGGCTGGGGTACGATTATTCTTTGTGGTCTGAGCCTGAGTTCTAGACTCTGACCCAGGATGTCTCTCTAACTCAAGGACAGACCTACAATCAAGCTGTTTAGGTGCAACCCATTACTACATCAAAGTGGAGAGATGTTGTAGAGAGATGTTCTGACCCCCTTAGTTACCTCCCCTCAGGCAGCAAACACTGGCTGTTGTGATACCTAGCTATCATTTTATAACCTTATTTGAAGCAGGTCCTTAAAGCAGCAGGCATAATGATTGGCCACAGAGGAAGTTCTCAAGAGTACCTTTTCAACTATCACATGTTCTCTTCCTTTGTTGCAATGAATATAATTAATCTTCTAGAACTGGACATACTGCACTGGATGTGACTTTCTTAACAACAATAGGTAACAGGCATGGTTTGTTCTTTTTATCTTTTTCCCTTGAGAAAGAATAAAATCATTATACGGTGAGTCACTATGTGGCAAGAAAAAAAATCAAATACATGGTAGGTGAAGGAAGTCTTCAGGCTGAAATGGATATGACTGATTGTCTTCAAGCACAGAGTGAGAACTCTAGAATGAGCTACTCCAACAAGGAACTGGCATCTCCCAGTGGTGATGGCTTCAAAAGATTCTGAACCTGCCTCAAGGGTAGATGAAGGTTTCTCTTGATCCCTGGTGGCATTGTGAGTTAGGCACTGGGCTGCTAACTGCAAGGTCAGTGGTTCAAATCCACCAACTTCACTTTGGGAGAAAGACGAGGCTTTCTGCTCCCATAAAGATTTTACAATCTCAGTACTCTATATAGGGTCACCATGAGTTGGTATCGACTTGATGGCAGTAGACTTGGTTTTTGATTTTTATGTCAGCTATGGAAAAAGCAAATACTTGGTAAGACAGAGGCAAGGGGTTTCTCTGGATGTTCAGTGGTCTGTCCCCAGTCACTAACCTAAAGAGAATGTATGGCATGTGGCAGAGGGGACATTTTGCTATGAGTGCTCTGGTCCCTAAGAGGAACACAGACTTCCCTGAGTTCTCACCAAATAATCAAATATACTCGCCTTTTCGAGAAACACAAATCATGCCTCCTTCCCTTTGAACATCGTCCATCCAGGGGCAGCCAGAGAATGCTTGACTTGCAAGGGATCTCAGTGACTGGGTTTGTAAGTGTGCTATTTTCTGCCTGAACACAAAGGTGGCTGGAATGGGCACCCTCCAGTGCATTCTTCTCCTCATTCCAGTCTTGCTTCCTTTACCGTTTAGATTGAATCGAAAAAGGACTTGCTCCTTTGCCCTAGGTTTGTCCCCAATAGGTCAGCCCCTCTTGTAGGCTCACCTTTGGCAGGGCCTAGTAATGAGCAGCCCATGTTTTCCTTTCAGCCTCATAGCCTGGCTCACCTATGGAACCACCATTAGCTGCCTCCTGTACTTGCGAATGAAGGATAAGAATCTTCCCAGACCTTATAAGGTAGACGTTGGGATGGACATTGGGCTTCTCCAATCCTAGACTGCGGTACAAGGCAGGTCTTTGGGTCACAGCCTCATTCAGGGCCCAAGGAAGAGTATAGGGAGTTGGCACTGTCATTACATTTGTTACAGAATTTCTATACTTTTGGGTGCAAGGCATAATGTGTAGGCTCACACCTTCTTCTCTGTGGCCTTGGGTGGGGTAGGGGGAGGAAAGTGGGTGGAGTGGTAAGAAACTGAAACTCTGGGCAACAATTCTGGTTGCTGGGATGGGTTTCTCCTCTGGAGGACCTTAAGAGACAGATGTAGAGAGGATGAGAAGCATGTGCACAGTTAGGGTCACATGTAATATAGAGAGGATAATGTTGTTGTTAAATGCCATGGAGTCAGTTACAACTTACAGTGAACCTGTACAGGGTTTCCAAGTAGCAGCTGGTAGGTCTGAACCACTGACCTTGAGATTCAAGCTGACCTTTCAGTCCAGTGCATTATCCTGCAGCACTGATAATGCTGGGTAGAGGAGTCCTGGTGTGGTGCTTAGGATAAACACTCGACACAAGGTCAGTGTGAACCGCTAGGTCGGTGGTTCAAACTTACCAGCTGCTCCTTGGAAGCCCTATACAGGGTCACTATGGCATTTAAGGACAAAATTTGTCCTTTGATAGCATTTAAGGACAAAAAACTGCTGCTCTCTGGAGTGCCTTCTGTAGCCCAGTAGGTGTCTACTCTGGTCTGGGCAGCAAAACAAAGCAGGGCCTCAATGAGAGGAGCTGTTGGCAAGTGGAACCAACAGGAAGGCAGGCAGGAGGTATAGAGTCCTGAGATCATGCACCTGCCCCCCATGCCCCTCGTCATCATCCAGATCCCAGGGTCAAATATCTGCTTTGTGCCCACTGCAGGTTCCCACCTTCATCCCTGTTATCATGTTCCTGGCTTGTGTCTACCTGGTGTTGGCACCTCTCATTGATCATCCCCAGATGGAGTTCTTTTATATCTTCCTGTTCATGCTCAGTGGTTTCTTGGTGTACTTCCTATTTATCTATTTCCAGAGGTACCCCAAGTGTTTGCAGACAGCTACTCTGCATCTCCAGCTGCTCCTGGAAGTTGCTCCAACCACTAAAAATGTTGGTTGAAGAACTGGACAAGTTTTGCACTGACTTCTTTTCTCTGTCCCCATACAAGTGGCCGTGCCAAGTCATCCTTAGTTGATGATACATAATTCTAATAAGCTCTTTAAGTTCATGGAGCTTTGGGTTATCCACCCAAAGCAACAAACATCCCCTTCTCTAAGAACTGCACCTGACTGGTGCTATGTGACCGCCTCTCTGGCTCATAGCAATTTGCAGTCCAAGTGGTTACCATCTCTTCTTTTGGGATTCTGGAACTAGAATTCTGTGGTCCAGTAAAAAAGAGGATGATCTCAACAAGAGGGATTGACACAGTGGTTTCAATAATGGATTCAAACATAGGAATGATTGCAAAGATGGCAAAGGACTGAGTAGAGTTTCCTTCTGTTGTATGTAGGGTTGCTATGAATCAGAACTAACTCTATAGCAACTAACAACAAAAACAACAACAATTTAGTCTCCGATGGCTGTTTGATTTGAGGAATTGTAAATCTTGGGGATTTACAGTTGAGCAATCGAAACCAAGTGGAGCCGAGAAGTAGAGAAAGTCACTGAATAGAGAAGAATAAAAGAAGATATACAGTGAGATGGTGTTGAGACATTATGTGGCACCAAAGACTGATTAGGGAGAATCTCAGAGGATAGCAGACTTGATCCCTGGCTGTGTCCTAGCTTTAGTCCCTCTCTTTCTGTGATCCAATTGCCATTTGACTGTACTTCCTGCTTTTTGATTATCTGTAACAATCTGATACCTTATAATAAATTTCTCATTTTTGCCTCCAGTGAATTTGAATTGGTTTTTATTTCTTGTCACTAAAAGAGTTGACTCTGACAAAACTTCCTGGTCAAGAAGACATGATACTTCAATTACTATTTAAAGATACCAATTGGATTCAACAGGGTTAGAAAAAGAGACAAGAGGAAGGGCTTATTGGCTTTGGGTAAAAGAACGACAGTGACCATTTTAGAAGAAAGGGTGAAAAGTTAGAATCAATTCCAGAAGGCTAATGTAGTTATAGGGCAAGGTAGAGACAAGGGAGAGGAGATATGTGGTTGTCCAGTTGGGAATGTGGGATAGGAAGAACTACAGTGTCTAGGAGAAGATAGACTGAGAACCCAGATCTTGAATGCATCAGAGATGGTGATGATAAAAGGGAAGGGCTGAGACTGTTGGTCAGTGTCTCTGCTCCTGAAAACTGGACCCAGACAGCCCACACATGGCTGTGCTTATGTTAGTATATCTGCCACAGATGCAGTGTGCTTTCCATGAGCTTGCTTCTGAACTCTGAAGACATGATCAGTGTATTCTGAGGTCACAACTTCCAGTAACATTTTAGGAGAGACCTCACATACCTTCTCTTCCAAACTATATAACCTGCCTTGGAGATAAAAAATGTACAAGACAGACTAGTTTTATTCAGTTCCTTGTCAAAGATGGTCATGAATTAGGCTCAAAGGTCCCCAGGAGAGGTTTCTGGACCCCTCCAGTAGAACTTTGCCCTTTCTCCTCTCCTCTCCACTCCCACTAAACTATGCTTGTACCTTGTCAGCCTTACTGGGCCTTGTACCTTGATGGTTGATTGTGTGCCATATTCCTCTGCTGGACTGTGGGCTTGGTGGGGGTGGGGTGGGGTGAATTCTTAGATATACGTCTTCACTTGTCAGTTCTCACCATGGTGCTGTGCTGGACTCCTTGCTAATCAATAATGCTTGATGAATCAAAAGATGAGATAGTTGTTAAACGATGAGAGAATGAATCACATTTGGAGTTTTAAAGATTTGTGCCTATTTTCCCTATAACCCCTGCTCTGTTCTAGGCTCCCTGGCCCTGACCTGAGGAGGTACTTCAAGGGAATACGTCTTCTAAGTCTTGTGCAATTACTCTCCACCTAGCAGTAGATGTATGCCTCCAGGTGGGGAGTGGAAGTTGGGGGCTGAAATGAGCACTGGTTTGGCCATGAGTGATGCATACCAGTTAGGCTATGTCCCACTTTGTGACTCAGTTTCCCCATCCTTTTTAGGAACGACTGCCACTGAATTGCAAAACAAGCTCCCAGGCCTCTTTTTATGGTAGAAAAGACTCCCTGGGCAAGGCCATTTACCTAGTCATATACTGCCCGGAGTGGTAGATGTCCTGCCCAAGGCCCCTCGTCTAGTCCCAGGATGGTAGTGAGGGAGTGATCCCAGATGGGCATCTGAGACTTCTTAGGAATTGTGTACATTGACTTTCTTACTCTGAGTCTGAGATGTGGTGATGGTCTCAATGGTTAGTTCTCTATATTGTTAGTGATGAAATGGTAAGTTTCATGTTTTGGCCTTTGGACTGAAAATAATACTTTGGAAAGAATGTGGACTGATCAGAACAGACCTCAGTCTTCACTTTAAAGGTGGCAATTACTTGGAAATAGCTGGGGCAGGTATTGGCTGGGATCCAGGGGGCAGGGCACTGTCTTTCACCCTGCATCAAGCTCATCAGCTGTTTGTGCTTGTGGCACAGTGTGGTTACTCCTAGAGTCACACACATGAAATTCTTTGAACTCCTTTAGGGTCATTTACATGGCTCCCATTGAGTTGCTGTTATTGTTAAGTGCCATTGAGTTGGTTCTAACTCACAGCCACCCTGTAGGGTTTCCAAGGAGTGGCTGATGGGTTTGAACCACTGATCTTGTGGTTTACAGTCCAATTTTTATCCTACAGGACTTGTTATGTTAAGTGGCTTTGAGTTGGTTCCAACCCTGTGTAGGGTTCCTGAGGAGTAGCTGGTGAGCTTGAACCACTGACGTTGTGGTTCAAGCCAACTTTCCAGTCCAGCGCATTAGCCCACAGTGCCACACCAGAACTCCTACAGGAGTTGTTGCTCTTGTTAAGTGCCATTGAGTCATTTCCTACCCATAGCGACCCTATATAGGGTTTGTTGTTGTTGTTGTTAAGTGCTGTCAAGTTGATTCCAATCCATAGCAACTCTGTATAGGGTTTCCAAGGAGCAGCTGGTGAGCTTGAACCACCAACCTTGCAGTTCAAATGACTTTCCAGTCTGATGCATTAGTCCACAGCGCCATACCAGAAATGGAAAATCCAAATTTCACAGATTAATCTACATAAATCAATGCCATGGTTAAAACTCCAAACACTATATGAGTTGTTGTTTAAGTTCTGTGGAGTCAGTTCTGGCTCATAGTGGCCCTGTATAAGCATTAGTGAGCTGAGATGGACTCGTATTGGTCATTTTGAATTTGACAATCACATAGTTTACTATGCTGGGAATGACAAGTTGAAGAGGAATTGAGTCATATTCAGTATCAAAAAGAACATTTCAAGACCTGTCTTGAAGCACAATGCTGTCTCTGATAGGATACTATCCATAAACCAACAGGGAAGACCAGTTAATACCACTATTATTTAAATTAACACATGAACCACTAAAACCAATGATGATGAAATTGAAGCATTCTAACAACTTCATTCTGAAATTGATTAAGCATGCAATCAAGATTGACAGATAATTGCTGGTGACTGGAATGCAAAGGTTGGAAACAAAGAGGAAACATCAAAAGTTGGAAAATATGGCCTTGGTGATTGAAACGATGCTGGAGATCACACGATAGAATTTTGCAAGGCCAATAACTTCTTCATTGCAAATACCTTTTTAAAACAAAATAAAAGGCAACTATACACATGGACCTCACCAGATGGAATACACAGAAATCAAATTGGCTACATCTATAGAAAGACACAGTGGAAAAGGCCCTATCTTTAGCCAAAACAAGGCCAGGGGCAGACTGTGGAACAGACAATCAGTTGCTCATATGCAAGTTTGGGCTGAAGCTCAAGAAAATTAAAGTAAGTTCATAAGAGCCAAAATGTGACCTTGAACATACCCCATATGAATTTAGAAAGAGATGATTCAACAATTTGAAGAGGTAGCATATGACCAAGAGCCAGTGATCCTGAAGGAAGAAGTCCAAGGTGAATTTTGAAGGCATTGGCAAAGAATAGGCTCTGGTATTGGTGGAATACAAATGAAAAATTTTCAACAAACTGATGAAGCATTGGCGGCACTCACTCGTCTATGTCAAGAAATTTGGATGACAACTACCTGGCCAACTAACTGGAAGAGATCCACATTTACGCCCATTTCAAAGAGAGGTGACCCAATGGAATGCAGAAATCATTAGGCAATATCATTAACATGACATGCAAATAAAATTTTGCTAAAAATAATACAAAAACAGCCAAAACCATACATTGACAGGGAACTTCCAAACATTCAAGTCGAATTCAGAAAAGGATGTGAATTGAAGGATATCATTGCTGACATCAGATGGATCTTGGCTGAAAGCAGAGAATACTTTGCTTTATTGATTATGCAAAGGCTTTCAATTGTGTGGATCACACTATGGACAACATTGTCGAGAATGAGAATTCCAGAACACTTAATCGTGCTTATGAGGAACCTTATGAGGAACTAAGAGGCAGTTGTTTGAACAAAACAAGGGAACATCAAATGGTTTAATATTTGGATAGATGTGCTCCAGGGTTGTATTCTTTCACTATACTAATACAATCTGTATGCTGAGCAAATAATTTGAGAAACAGGATTATATGAGGAAAAACATGGCATCAGAATTGGAGGATGACTCATTAACAACCTGTGATATGAAGATGATACAATCTTGTTTGCTGAAATTGAAAAGGACTTAAGATACTTACTGATGAAGATCATAGATCATAGCCTTCGATACAGGTTGCACTTTAGTGCAAAGAAAACAAAAATCTTCACCATTGGACCAGTAAACAACATTCATATAAATGGAGAAAGTACTGAAGTTGTCAGAGACTTCATTTTGCTATGCTCAACCATCATCACTCATGGAAGCAGCAGTCAAGAAATCAAACAACGTATTACATTAGGCAAATCTGCCGTACAAGACCTCTTTAAAGTGTTGAAGAGCAAAGATGTTAGTTTAAGGACTAAGATAAGCCTGACCCAGGCAATGCTGTTTTCA